CCGCCGACCCTCCGCCACCACCGGCGGTCCCTGGCTCCCGGGCCGGGAGGCCAGCCCACGCAGCCCCCGCAGCCCTGAGGTCACCCGAGGTATCCGCCCAGCTGTCCCCTCCGCTTCCTCATCCGCCTTCTCGTCCTCCCCGTCCTCCTCCTCCTCCTCCTCCTCCTCCTCCTCTCCTCCTCCTCCTCCTCTTCCTCCTCCCCCCCCTCCTCCTCCTCCTCCTCCTCCTCCTCCTCCTCCTCTCCTCCTCCTCCTCCTCCTCCTCCTCCTCCTCCTCCTCCTCTCCTCCTCTTCCTCCTCCTCCCCCCTCCTCCTCCTCCTCCTCCTCCTCCTCCTCCTCCTCCTCCTCCTCCTCCTCCTCAGTCGTTCCATTTCGTGCCGATTCGTTCGAGGTGGTGCCGCAGCCTTGCACGCCGAGACACGTGCTCACTGTGCCGCCTTGGCTCCAGAATCACAGTGCGGATCGGTGCACCATCACTGCTCTGCCATTCTCGCCCTCAAAACCTGCATTGCCCTCACTGTAGTGGCTGGTGGCGTTGGGCTGACTCCACTCTCCACCTTTCCCGCGTGCGCCTCCTCCTCCTCCTCCTCCTCCTCCTCCTCCTCCTCCTCCTCATCATCATCATGATCATCATCATCATCATCATCATCATCATCATCATCATCATCATCATCATCATCATCATCATCATCATCATCATCATCATCATCATCATCATCATCTTCCTCCTCCTCCCCCTCCTCCTCCCTCTCCTCTTCCTCCTCCTTCTCCTCCTCCTCCTTCTCCTCCTCCTCTTCCTTCTCGCCTCCCGCGCACGCCCGCAGCCCCTACGGGAACCCGAGACAGTTGTCCCCATCCCGCTCTGGCCGGAAGCCGCCGGCAGCGCGGCGAAAGAGCGATGGGCCCCGCCGCGTTCCTGGCGGCGCTCACAGCGGTGACCGGCGCGCAGGCGTTCCATCACCCAGCTGCCCTGTCGCCGCAAGCGGTGGTCCTCCTCGTGTCCTCCCTCCTCCCTCCTCCCTCCTCCTACCCCTCGCACGCGCGCGCGCGTGCGAACTAAAGGCTGATGTGGTCCGCAGCCTCTCGCAGGATCAGACAGACAAAGGTACGACGATGGCAGCAAGCTGTTGTGACATCAGGGGCCCCAGACAAACCCACCCCCATGCCGAGGAAAGAAGTGGCCAGAGCCTGCTCCCCCTCCGTCACCCGGCCGCCCTGTGACCGCGCATGATGGTGGCCACGGAGGAAAGGGGCCCCGAGAGATCGTGGCTTGATGCGGTCAGGGACTCCTGCTCAGCGTGTCGCGCCGCTGGTTCTGGCCCACCGCGCTTCGGCGCGTCACGCCAGTCACGTCTCCATTTCCAAGCGTCAGCGTCCCAAGCTCTTCCTTGACCTTCGCCCTGCGGAGCCCAGCGACACGCTAATTATCCACTTGCAGGGTATAGCATGCCGCCGGGGCCGCCGCCGCGACACCGTATGCGCAAGTTCCCGACCGTAGAGCCCCCTTGCCAAGTCGATTAGCGATTGCTCTTTTTCGGTTCTCGACAGGGCGTTGCGTCTGCACGTTTTGCGCGCCTGCGCCCCCCAGATCTGGCCTCAGAGCGTCTGCACCAGAGGGTGTTTTGCCAAAGGGAGGCTCTATCCACCCCCGAGGGGAGGTGGGCCCTCAGTGGGGCGAGGAAGGTCACGCTCGTGCTCGGGGGCAGCGCTGGGGGGGGGTAGGCTCAGTGGGGGACGCACCGACTCCCAATCGTCCACTCATCGCTGCTAGGGCCCAGTGGCCCATCTCCCCCCAGGAGCGTGCGGTTTCGCAATCGGGAGCCTGTCGCCCATCTATGTCGGCAATGTATCGCCGGTGCCAGGTCGCTGGAGGCGCACGTCCGACACGGACTTATGGCACACATGTTACGGCATATCGTTTCCCAGGTATGGCCAGGAAGCGCCCGCCACGGAGCTTGTACTATGGGATTTCTGAGCGAGCGTGTCGCCTCTGCGGGGCCGAGGGGCAAGTGTCCTCAGCATGCTTGAGTGACGCCGGCTCACGCTTTTCGCCGCTTCTGGCCTTCCCTCCACGAGCTTCAGAGGCTGTCAGAACGCGGCTCGGAGACGAGAAGCCGGCTCCGGAGGAAAAGGCCCCAGGGATCCGGGACCCGTTTCCCTCGGAGGCCGCTTCCTTTATGCCAAGGTTTGAGGCCGCCCACATTGAGCCCAAGTGGATGGGGGCGGAGGATCGCGCCGCATCGCCGAAGCATCGGCAACACATTAGCGACGTCGGGGATACATCACCGACGTCGACGTGGAGAAAATGGGGCTCCAAAGCGAGCTACATCGCCGATGCATCGATGACGCGGCGCGATCCGTTGACCCCATCTACAGTAGGCTCACCCAGTGAGAAATTGGCCTGCCAACGGGTGCCTCACGACAGCTTCGCATCTCCCGATAGGTCTGCAGAGCCATGGGCCCCCCTTTATATGCCTCGTCACGCTTGGGTCGCCTTACGAGTGCTTGTCGCAGCCGCCGATGGGTGTGCCTTTGTTCACCAGGAGCGCGAGTGTCATCAAAACGCCCCCCCCCCCCCCCTTTACGAAGATCAGAAGTCGACGAAATACGTGTCCCTTGGTTCCTTGAAGTGCTCGCGCCCCCGCACGTCGCGGCCTGGGCTGAAGCAGCTCCCCTTCTCCAAGGCCAATGCGGCCGCGCGGGGGGGGCGGGGGCGCGACGCTGACCGCGTGTCGCGCATCTCGCGGCGCGATGCGCGAAGTTTGGCGACCTGGTTATTGGCCCCACTCTTCAGCGCACTCGAAGAGGAGATGTTTTGAGCAGATGACGTTAGCCAGCGCGGACCCAGGACAATGATATCTTGCAAACTATGCGGTGCAATCTAGGTAGTGAAGTAAGTCTAAGTGCTGCAATCCAGGTGGTGCATTTATATGTTGTGCAAAGCAGTGCAAGCAAAGCAACGCAATACAAAAGCAACGCAGAATTACTCCGACGGTAGGACGCCGCGTGAGATTCTTGACGCCTCGCGTATCCCCACCTGTGCCCTCTTGGCGGCTTCCTCCAGCCGTGGCCCGGCCTTCACAAATTATCTGGCCTTGCGGGCCGCCGAACAAAAAAGTATCCCCACCTGCACGTCTGGACGCCACAGCGCGTAACACAGAATTCCCTGGCATTTTGCCGCAGGGCTGCACGTTGCTCGAGCTTCCCTGGGCGTTCCAGTTCTGCCTGCCAGCCCCCCGCCGCCGCTGCCCGAGATGCCGCGTTTGTGAGCTGGCCCGGCCGGGTCGTGCTGGGCGCAGTAGCTAATTCGGTTTGCCCGTCGGCCCGGACAACCTGTTCGCCGCATGCGCTCTTCGCTAGTGGCCGCGACCAAAAAAATCTCCCCACCTGCTTCCTTCCGACCTCCCGGCCTCGGCGCCCCCAGCTCACCGCAGCGCAGTTCGGCGGCTTAGGCAGCTTAGGTTTGACCCCGCGCTCTATACTCGCTGCAAATTAGGAAGGTCCGCGCCCCGGAATTACCGACCCGCCGCCTGCGCCTTCGCTTGCGGCCGCGACCATATATATATATATATATATATATATATATATATATATATATATCCCCGCTTGCCTGGCACCTCTTGCAGCTCTGCCTTCAGTCCCTGGCGTCGCTCCTCGGCGTCCCTCGGCGGCAGTTTGGGCGGCCGTTCGCTCGCGCGCTTAGGTAATTAGGTTTGCCTCGTAGCCCGGGCTGACTTCGGACGCCGCCTGCGCTTCCGCTTGCGGCCGCGACGGGAAAAAATATCCCCACTTGCCCGGCCATGGACGCAGGTCTGCGGGCCTTTCCTTCGTCGTGGCCACCCTGGCCGCGCCAGAAGTCTGCTTGCTGGCCCCACCTATTGCGGGGCTCTCCAGGGCTCCTGGGCCCGCGGCTCGCCTTGAGTCTGCCGCCTCTTCTTCACGCCCGGGGTTGACGGACACCAGGTCTTCCCCCTCGTTGCGATTCTCTGGGGCCTGCTCATGCCCCCCGTCGTTGGCTCCTCGCCGACTCTTCGCTGGAGTTCGGTTTTCGGTTTCCCCACATCGTCTTCTCCCACCATCTGGTGACTGGCGATCCGGATTTTCCGTCGAGCGCCTGCACGTCCTGCTCCTCCCCTTTCTGGGTCGTGGGCTTCTTCAGTTCGAGGTGCCGCACGACGCCCAGGTGTTCGTCCTGGTGCTGGTGCTCTTCTGAGCGGCAGTGAGGTTCGCCCGCTGCTCGTCTCTTCCGCCGTCTTTCTCTTTTCGTTTCGCCCTTCTCCTTCCGTGCTCTAATTTAGGCCGTTGCGTTGACGCTTCGTTCTGACGGCGCCCGGCGCCTTCCGGCGCGCTTGCGATCAGAGAGAAGTATCCCCACTTGCTTCTTTTGAGCGGCAGCGAGGCTCGCCTCCTGTTTGTTCCTCTCCCCGCTTTCTCTGGTCTCTTTTCGCTCCCCATTCGTCCTGCGCGCGAATTCAGGCCGTTGCCCGTGCGCCACGCTCCCGGGCGCCGCCCGACCTCTTTCGCCGCGGTCGCGGTCAAAAATGTATCCCCACCTGCCCATTCAGAAGCAGATCGCCAGGCGCGTAATCTTGGTCAGGAAAGTGTAGAAGCACGCAGTGTAACGACCGCCTTGGAAGTGTTTTTTTTTTTTTTTTTTTTTTTTTTTTTTTTTTTTTTTTTTTTTTTTTTTTTTTTTTTCGGAGGTCTCTTGGAGCCGTCTCGGGTTTTTCTCGGGGTGTTCGCGGAGCAATTTGGGGCACTTTTAGGGCCCTCTTGGGGCTCTGGAGGGGTCTACGGGTTCTCTTTGGGCTCTGCGCGGGGCCTGGATGGCCTCTTGGGGCCGTCATGTGCCGTATGGTTCAAACAGAGGGGGGCAATCGCATCCTCCCTTCGGAGGCTCAAAAATGATGCCGTGAGGCCCTCTTGAAGCGCTCTTGGGCGCTCTTGGGGCCCTCTTCAGACAGGTGCGAAAGTTTCCCTAAATTGGGCACGCGCTGCTTTTCAGCGAACCGCATCGCTTGGTGAGGCGGTCTCCCTGGCGGCGGTCCAGGTCCTTTACCCTGGACGGCAGCTCGCGGCGCAGGCCGTCGACGTCGCAGGCGCTATTGATTTGCGCCGCGCAGGCCTTCAGCCGGGCGCAGTACGCCTTTAGGGTCTCCTCCCATCACCGCTTCGGGAGCGTTTGCGCGAGCCTGTCCCGCATCCACGACGCCGTGATCTCGCGGAGCATGACTTCCTGGAGCTGGCCGGGCTGCGCAGAGGCGTCGCGGGAAAAAATGCCCTCAGGTCTTGGCGCCTCAACGCCCCGCGGCACGCCTCGGTGATTGCCCCTGAGCCGGCGTTGCAGAAGCCGTTCCCGCGGTCCGCGAACAGCACGCGAGGCTGCCGGCTGCCCCTGGGAAAACGTACATTCAGAGCAGCCCGCACCTTCACCACAATGATCTCGGCTCCCAGCGGAGTATCCCCAGGCAAATCGTCAGGCAGCGAATCGATGTGGATCTTCCCGCGCGTGAGGACCGGGGCCCACCGCGCCTGCGCCGTGTCAGAGCTATTCAATTTGAGGTGGTGCATGGGGCCGCGGAGGTTCTGCGATTGCGCCTGAGAGCCTTTGCTCATCCATCTTTCCTTCCTCTTTCGCGCAAGCGCCATGTCTTGCGCCTTCTTCTGAGTCCGAGGGAGGACAGAGTTGCAGAGGTCACACCACGCGAGATTGTCGTAGTACCGCTGCGGCCTGTGCGACAGAGATATCACGTGCTTCGCGAAATCCCACCGCTCCCGCTTGGACACGTCGTCCAGCGCGTGCCGCGACAGGCGCGGCCTGTTCTCTCGCGGATCGTCTGCTCCTTCATCATAGCAAGCCTCCCGGAGTACAGCGTGGACTGCCCTCTTGTCCACGGGCTACTCCGCGTCGGGGTTCAAGACAGCCGTCGGGCACGCGGCCGCGATAGCGGCGTGCGTGGGCTCGTCGCTCTGCTTCTTCAGACGCTTCGCTGCCGCCACAATAGCGGTCTGCTTCGGGCCCCGCAGGACGCGCTTCCGGCCGCGGAGCCCCCCTTCGGTCAATTCCCCAGGGTGCCACTCGGGGTCGGCATCCACGCGCTCGAAGAACGCCTTGATGGACTGCGATGTAGGATGGTCGCCGGAGGGCTGCCCGGCCTTCGTCTTCCTCGCGCGGCTGGCCACGAAGGACATCGCGCCGTAGGCGCTCTTCCCCTCCTCGCGCCACACTTCGCGGAGCGCCCGCGCCCGCGCTTGCTCGCGCCCGCAGAGGCCCCTCTCTTTGCCCGCGAACCACGCCCTGCTCGGCGCTGCCTGCTCCGACATGTCGCGAGGCCAGGGGGCGCCCGGCGCCGCGCGCGAGAGGCCAGGGCCAAAGCGGCGACGGACAGCGAGGAGGAAGAGAGAAGGGGTGCCAGGGGGGGGCGAGGCCGAGGAAGCGGAATGACATGGGCAATACTCATAGAAGCGCGGCCACCTACCCAGACTGGGTCATGCAAGGACCCAATCGTCCCTAGATCCACTCGCGCCCAGACCCGTTCCTGCTGAGCCGCTGACGGCTAGACCCACTCGTAACCATACTTGCACACGCCCACGCACCTTCTTCACGTTGCGACTATAATGCGCAGACGCACTAATGCTCAGATGCACCCGTGATCAGACGCACGCCCATTCATATGCATTCCCCCCGGGCACACTCACGCACAGACCTACGCAGGCCTGGGCCCACTCATATCCAGACTCGTTCGCGTTCATGCCCAGCCCACTCGCCTCGCGCTGGGGCTCGCTCCCACCGAGTCACTTGGACTCCCCCCCGGGGCGGCGCCAGCCGAGGGCACGCGACGGCCGCCCCCCAGAAACCTTCAACAACTCGGGAGGCTGGGGCCTCCACTGGGGCCCGCCGCCTGTCATTGCCGATGAGGCTGCGGCGATGCGACAGCGCGCGAGCGCGCTTTCTTTGGGGCAGCAGGAACCCGGAGAATTCACAAGGTTCCGTCGCGTTTGCAACGTCGGAACAATCGTGAAACCCCGTGGAGCCAAGCAGGAACCTTGTGGATTCATAGAGTTTCGTCACACTTGCTGCGTCGGAACCATCGTGGCACCATCGTGGAACCAAACAGGAACCTTTTGAAATCATAAGGTTTCGTCACACTTGCAACGTCGGAGCCATCGTGGAACATCGTGGAGCCAAGCAGGAACCGTGTGAATTCAAAAAGTTTCGTCACACTTGCGACGTGGGAACCATCGTGGAACCATCGTGGAGCCAAGCAGGAACTTTGTGAATACATAGGGTTCGCCACACTTGCGACGTCGGAAGCATCGTGGAACCATCGTGGAGCCAAGCAGGAACCCTATGAATTCATAAGGTTCCGTCACACTTACGACGTCGGAACCATCGTGGAACCAAGCAGGAATCCTGTGAATTCATAGGGTTTCGTGACGTGTCAACCTCTCGGAGCCATCGTGGAACCAAGCTGGAACCACCGCGGTCGGGCGCCGGACCCTATGAAACGACGCGGATCGGCGATCGCGGGCTCGCCGCCCCCACTCCTATTATAGCATTCATTAAAGGTGGTGCACGGCGCATTCTCGCCCCTGCGCCCTGGAACAGAGGGGTGCCTTTGATTAGTATTAGAAGAGGGCCGCTGGGCTCCAAGCCCCCCCACCCCGGCCCACGCCTGGACCCCTTCTCTGAGCTCTGGGCATCGGAGCGGGCAGAGAACTGCATTGCGATGGATGTATTTTTTCTAGCTGGGAGTCTCCCCGCCCCGCTTGTGCTCCGGGCTCGCGCCCGCGGGGGCCTCCCGGCGCCTCGGGGCCCACCTCCTGCGAGACGCGCCAGAGCTGACAGAGGGCGCGGGAGAAGACCGCGGGGGCGTCGCTGGCGCTGGGGCCGCGACCCTCGCCTCCCACGCGGGCTCTCCGACGAACGCCTCCACTGCGTTCGTCTGGATCCAGTTCTTGTCAGCGAAAGAGTAATCATCGTACGTCCAGTTGTTGGTCGTCAACATGAGTGGTGTCTTCCGGAGCCATACCTCGTAGGTGAAATTCTGCGTCGGGCCCCGACCAAGGATGGCCCCGTCCACGTGTGATTGCAACAACTTCTTATTATCAACGACAAACTCTGCGGATTGCATTTCGTCGAGGAGGATCGCCTTGTGGGTATTTCGTTGAAAGCAACGCAAATCCGGGTGCTCTGCGCGCTGCACATCTACCACGAGCGCCTGTGCATACCCGAGCAGGCTCCGTGCCAGCCGAGATTTGCCCGTGCAAGAGGGGCCACAGAGAACCAGAAATTTGCACCGTTCCTCTTCCTCGAACTGCAACCTCCATCGTTGGATCTGATCAGGCAGGGGTTTATAGGGCAGCGCCTTCATTGCGATTCGCGCCCGCGCCTCCTCCTTCTCACGCGCGCACTCGTGCGCGCGCTCATCCGCTTCTACTGCTGCCACCAAGGCCTGGGCCCTATCGTGCCCGCCCCGGAGTTTCATCGACAGATCCAAAAACTGCGCGTGGTCAAGCTTGTGCTGCCCGTGCAAGACCATGACCCAGGCGCGCTCTGGAGACCATCCCGACTCCCAGGGCACATAGTTTGATGCGTTCTTCAAAGTTCTCTGCTTCTTTACCCATACATAGAAATGTCCGTGCTGCATGGCACCACGGGTCTCGCCCTTCGGTATTCTTGTCCACGCGCGGCTTCACGCCCCTGACAACCCAGGAGTCCAGAGTCCTGTGGTCCACGCCCTTGCTTCCCCCGCCGCGCCAGGAAAGTAGCAGTGCAAGTGCACGCGGCCAGTGTCAGTTGAATGCAGGGACTCCTCCATGGTTGCACTCCAGTAAGTGATGCCAAACTCCTTCTTCCGACCCTCTACCCACGATTGGCACGCCTGCCACAACTCCGGGGGCGCGACGAAGGCCAAGCAATTGAAGGTGAGTATGAAGGCCCTGCTTTTCAACCGAAACGCTTTGCCCGCCTGCGCCCGGCACTCTGCGTGTCCAGGGACCCGCTCGCTCCCGTCGGGCCCGTCGTCGGCGTCCTCGTCCGCTCCAGGATCTGGTAGCCCGGGAAAGGATCCACCGCCACCATTCTCTACCCACTTGTCCCTCGCTGCGCAGAGCTCCGGCGCGCGCTCGGCAGGCACGACGTCGCACAGTGCCGTGAAGAGGTCCACCACTGCCTGGGCCGTTGGGCGGAGAGACACCGTGTCCAGCTCGAACTCCTCTGCCAGGGAGTTCTGCGCCTTCGCGGCCTCGCTTCGCCGCCCTCGCCACGCAGTCTTGTCATCGGCCATGACTGCCCTGGCCGGCGGCTCGGGGCGACTCCGGCCTGGGCCAAAACTGCTACAGTGTGATCGGGTAATGAGGGTGCGCGGTAAGGATGCAAGGCCCTTGGCCGTCCAAGGAGAAAACCTTCGAGGAGAACATGTGCCCAGATGGACCGCAAGTGGCATCGGTGCAGGGGCGCCTTTCGAAAGTTATTCATCCCTATGATACGGTTTGACTGCGCGGCGCGGCGCAGTCCGCGAGGCCGGAGGCCCCACCCGCGCCAACTTCCGCGCTCGAGATCGGACGCGCTTCACCTCCGCCTGCTTCTACGGCCCCGCCGCGAGTCGTCCGTGGAGGCGAGGCCCTCTCCTGCTCTCCAGGCGGCTCCTTCGGACAGCCATCGCTCTCACGTGCATCATCGATTCAACTCCGCCTGCTTCCGGCGCCCGCCCGCCCGCCTTCCACCGCGAGGTCGGTTGTGCCTCCTACTCGCGTCCACGCATGGTTCTTTCAACCAGACAGCGCCGATGCAACCAATCCCTGGACCGCTTGCAGGCGGCTCCGTCCGACAGCCCTCGCGCACGAAGCGTCTTCGATTTACCTCCGCCTGCTTCCAGCGCCCGCCCGCCGTCTTCCGCCGCGAGGTCGGGCGCCTCCCCCCTCGCGCCGTCGCATGGCTCTTCAAGCCAAACGGCACCGACGCAGCCAGTCCCTGGAGCGCGCTCTGGCCAGAATTCCGACGCGAATCCAGCTGCGGCGACAGGGGCAGGGCGAGGGGCGGACCAGCCGTGTGACGTCGCATCGTGGCCTCGGCTGCCCGCGAGCCCGGCGACTTCGCGTCTCCCCTGCCCCCCCAGCCCTGGCCTCGTCTCCCCTCCGTGCCCGCTCTCCCCCAGGAATCAAATTTAAGGAAACAATTCGCACCTGTCTGTTGGGGCTCTCTTGGGCCCCTCTTGGGGCTCTCTTGGGCCGTCTCGGGGCCATCTTGAGGCCAGCGAAAAGGCGAGAAGGCAAACACCATTGATTTTCCCTAGGTGTTTGAGGGATGTTGGCCTCTTGGGGGGGTCCTTGGAGGGCCCCGAGGGCACGCGAAAGCGTCTTGGGGCCGTCTTGAGGCCTCTTGGATGTGTGTCGGCGGCTATCTTGAACTATCTTGAAGTATCTTGAGTCATCTTGAAGGCCGTCTTGGGGTCTCTGAGGCCTTCTTGGAGCCATATTGGGCCATCTTGGGCGCTCTAACTACCCGCGCCCCCTCCGCCCGCATCCCAGGCTCAGGGGAGGTGGTAAGGGGAGCGGTTAACGCCTCCCCCGAGCAGGGGAAGGACGTTTTTTTGGTTGCAAGAGAGAGAGAGAGAGAGATATAGCGGAGGGGGGGGGGGGGATCCGTTAAACCACCTACGCCCAGAGGATTGGTGGGAATCCTCTCGGCCATTGCAAAAATAACCCTCGTCGTCGTCTTCGTGATTGGTGGGGCGCCCTTATTGTCTCCTCTGCGTCATTATCCTTATCGCCCTGGCGCAGGCCCGACAGTGACGAAAGCTTCAGGAGTCGGATCACCCGTTCGGATTACTAACATGATTTCCAGGCCCCATTGGCGGGGGCTACCGCCTGAGACGTCCTCGCATTTCACTCACGGACGCGCCTTCCGCACGAGACTTCCTCCATATTCAAGGTTCAGGGGCCCAGAAGTGATGACATTTACAGGATTCGGGTGCCTCGCTCGGATTAGTAATATGATCTCACATGATCTCCAGTCCCCATGGGGAGGGGGGCTCCCGCCTGAGACGTCCTCTCATTTCGCTCGCGGACGAGGCTCCCGCAGGAGACTCCCTCCAGGTTTGAGGTTCAGGGGCCCGAGCGTGACGACAGTTAAATGATTCGGATGACCCGTTCGGATTAGTGGCATGATCTTCGGGCCCCATCAGGACGGGGCTCCCGCCTGAGACTTCTCCGCCTTTCATTCACAGACAAGGCTCCCGCGCGAGACTTCTCCAGACTCGAGGCTCAGTGGCCCGAGAGTGACGATAGTTGCAGGATTTGGACGACCTGCTCGGATTCATAATATGATCTGCGGCCCCCATGGGGGGGGGCTCACGCATGAGACGTCCTCGCGTCTGCACGAGGCTTCCTCCAGATTCAAGGTTCAGGGGCCCGAATGTGACGACAAGTGCAGGATTCGGATGGCCCGCTCAGATTAGTTACACGATCTGCTGGTCCCCATGGGGAGGGGGGGCTCCCGCCTGAGACTTCCTCGCATTTCATTCACGGACGAGGCTCCCGCACTAGACTTCCTCCAAATTCAATGCTCAGGGGCCCGAGAGTGACGACAGTTACAGGGTTCGGATGACCGTTTCGGATTAGTGATATGATCTGCGGGCTCAACAGGGAGGGGGCTCCCGCCTGAGACTTCCCCGCACGTCACTCACAGACGGGTCTCCCGTTCGAGAGTTCCTGAAGGTGAGCGTACGCGTGTGCCTGCGACGATGGTGATTATGTGGATGAGGATCCGGATGAGGATGAGGATGAGGGTAAGGATGCTGCTGATGATGATGATGATAATGATGATGATGTTGATGATGGTGTGAAGGTGATGATGGTGGAATCTGTGATGACGAGATGGTGATAATGAGCGATATTATGACCATGATGATGCTGATGGTGAATGGAGTGCGTGGGAGATATATCGTGTGTGGTGAGTGTGTGACTGATGATGATGATTGTGTAAACGATTGCGTAAATGATGATGATGATGATGATGATGATGATGATGATGTTGTTGTCATTTGTGATGAGGAGGCTGGTGCTGATATGATGATGATGATGATGATGATGATGATGATCATGATGATGATGATGATGATGATGCTGATGCTGCTGATGATGATGATGATGATGATGATGATGATGATGATGATGATGATGATGATGATGATGGTGTGTGAGTGATGTGCGAAGGGGGACGACGAGAGGGAGGTAGGACAAGTATTGCGCGGGCGTCCAGAACAAACAAGAAGACCACTCAGGATGTGGGAACCAAAAAACTATGCAAAGCAATGCGTAATACGATGCGAAGCTACGCAACGCAATGCGAAGCATTGCAAAGCAAAACGAAGCAATGCAATGCAGCGCAATGCAAAAAAACATGCGAAGCAATGCGATGCAACGCAATACGATTGCAACGCGATGCGATTGCAATGAAATGGGGGGGGGGGGGGGCGGTGCAGCGGAGCGGCGGCGACGGACGGGGGTTTGGAAAAACGGAGAGGCGACGGACGGGAACGGGGCCGCCGGGGCAGCGAACGAGCCCAGATGGGGCGGCGACGGACGGGAACGGGGCCGCCTTGGGTCGGGGGGTGGCGAACGAGACCAGGTGGGGCGGCGACGGACGGGAGCGGGGCCGCCGGGGCGGCAAACGGGTTCAGCTCCTTGGAAGGGAAGCGAGAACCCCTGAATGCAAGCATTGCTTGGGGAAGGTAAGGCGCATCCTGGTACCACTCTCCGCACAGCTCCCATCGGCACACACGGCGAGCAAAAACTTTGACCTCGCCGTCGAGTTTTGCTTTCGGGTCATAGCTCGGCCCCCCGGCGGCCGCTCGGGGCAGCCGCCAGAAAGCGCCCCGAGGCTGGAAGACACGTGCGAACCGAGGAATGCGTCAGAACATGTAGAGCTTCCCTTTGGGCGTTTTTCGATGCGCGGCCCTGGAAGTCCCGACCTTTCCACGGGAGGTCGGTTTCGCCCTGGATTCGCCGGGGCCCGATAGCGGGCCCAAGAGGTCGAAATCGAGGCACCACCCCCGGATTGGAAAAACCATGTCGCCAGAGATTTGGGAGGGCTCGCCGCCGAGGCTGGAAAATTTGTGCGAACCGCCAAAAACGTCGAAAACCTCGAACCTCCGGAGTCCATTTCGACCCGATCGATCCGAGTCGATATTGATTCCGGCTGGCCCGATCCGATTCGATTCCGATGTTCTGGCAATCCGATGCGGCCCGATGCTGGAATGGCGTTTCTGCGTTTTTTGGCTCAGCTAGTCCAGTTCAATTCCGACATCATGCCTATGCGGCCCGATCCGACGCACATGTCAATCCGATCCGATTTGCAAATTCGATGCTGACAGATCCTGACCTCGAACCTCGAAACCCTCTTGTCTTCGGCCTCGCAGTTTCAAATCTGATCTAAAATTACTTTGTGCTGCCTTCCACGCGTTGGGAACGCGGCCTCGGCTTTGATAGCCCTCAGCTCTGAGGCTTGACACAAACAGTCTCCATAAGAACAGTGAATTGTACGAAAGTTGTGAATTCGTATCATGCCCCTCCATCCTCACAGAAAGATTACGATAATGTTTGTCCCGCCTGCCATCCCCTATTGCCGCCTGGTGTGGTCTATGTGCAAGCTTCGCCAACAAATCATGCATATTGGGCAGGCCCTTATAATCAGTGATACGCACGTCGGGCACGCACCTGACCTCCATCCTCGAATCGGCGGCGGGCCCGTGGGGGAGGTGAGAAGGGGCGGGTCTTCTTGGAAGGCTCGGAAGGCCTCTGGCCTTCGGAGAAGTTTCCCAAGCCTTCCCCGAAGATGCATACAACTTTTCAGCAGGCCGGAGGGCTTCTGAGAAGCCCCACCGCCTTTTCAGAAGGCATCTTCCTTCTCACGTCCTCCCCAAGCGCGCCGCCGAATTAATTCTTGGGTCATAACTCGGGTCTCCAGCGGCCGTTCGGGATGATCTGGGCACCCCCGGAACGCCCACGGCGAGGCGCGGCTGCTGGCAATCACGCGGGGGCTAGAAAACCGTCGAGCACCGACGACAACGTCCGAGCACCTCGAGCCTCGAACCCGGAACTTCCCCGGGCGCGCCGCCGAAACCTCGAGCTCTTTTCGGCGCGCCGCCGCGAGGTGGCGGTGTCCGCAGTGGGCGCTGGCCGCCGGGCCCCGCGCGACTCGGCCGCCTCGGCCGAGGCCGCCTCCGCCGCGGGCCGCGCGGGGCTGTGCCTGGCCTGTGGCGCCGCCGCCGCGCTGGCCGCCCGCGGCGCGGCCCGCGGGCGCACGGCGAGCCTGCCGACGACGACGACGACGACGCCGCCGACGATGGCGACGACGATGACGACGCGACGACGACGGCGACGACGACGACGACGACGACGACCATGACGACGCTCGCCGCCTGTGCGGCCTCGAGGTGGCCGCGGCCGACCGACCGCTCGCGGGCGCCGGCGGTCGGCGGCTGTCGTCGTCAGGGGGATTAACCCCCAACGTCCTCCTCCTCCTCCTCCTCTTCCTCCTGCTCCTCCTCCTCCTCCTCCTCCTCCTCCTCCTCCTCCTCCTCCTCCTCTTCCTCCTCCCCAAACCTCCTCCTCCTCCTCCGCTGGCGCAGCGCTTCGTGGTCAGGTTCGCGAGCCTCGCAGCCACGGCGGCGTCGCGGGCTCCGCAGGTTCATGCTCTTTCTCGTGACTCTACTGGTATTTGGAAACAGTTCTTTCCGGAGATGCCTGGCCAGCGGCGTGTCCAACTGCATGTCGGGCTCGACCGCAACCGCAGCGAGATCGCCCTCGACCATGCGGTCAAGAAGCTGCGGGTGCTTCTCGCTGAGCACTTGAGGCGACGGGTATTCATGGATCACGATGCGCGGAGTGTTTCCGTCGGGTGGAACTACTGGCCAGAGTCTTCGTTGATCCCGCTGAGTCCTCGTGGAATCCCAGCCTCCTGGCGGATCTTAACCTAGTTCGTGCCGACCTTGTCCGTCCCGCCTCGCGGTTCTTCGAGCCTCAGCAGATTCAGTGGGGTGGGTAGCGATATCTTGAGTTTTGAGCGGATGGTATTTGGTTCATGGAGCGCTCGGGCCCTGTTGCGCCACCAGTCACTTGCCATTGCTCGGAAGGCGGAGATACTTCGGCCATTGCTTGGCTCGTCAACCTTCTTTGCCTTGCAGGAGGCGCATGGTCCTGACAACGCTGTCTCAGAACTACTTGGTCGGCTTTGTTGCGATTTCGACAGATGCTGATGCTGACAGAGTGTTCACCCTGGTCCCGATGTCCGTGATGCGGATGCTCAGAGTTTCGCCCCAGGTCCGTGTCACGGGCAGAGCCTTAATGCTTGAGATTGTCCACGTGTCCTCGGGCGTCCGTTGGTTCCACTGGAGCGCTCACAACCACGACTCAGAGGGCAGTGACTTCGACAGGACCCGATCAGCCATCATTGCCCAGATTGACGTCGTCCGATCTGCTCCCTTCGCCAACAGTCTCATCCTTATTGGTGACTTCAACATCAACGATGACATTGTCGAGGCGGCCGCTGCTAGTCTGGAGCGTCGGCGTCGGCAGCCGACCCCATCGCCTGGCGTCCGCGCCGGGCTTGCTTCGAGCCTGCGCCGCAGATCGGTGGGCCGACAGCTGCGCTCGGGGGCCCGCCCCTGGAAGGCCATCTTCCGCCAGCACACCGAGCTGGTCGCCCAGGGCATCAGCCGCTATCATCGCGGGAGGGAGTCATCGGCTCGCATCGACCGGCGCTTCGCGGCCACACCCCCGTGGATGTTTTGCCAGCTGTGGCGGCGCGCGCGATGTCATGGCGAGGCGGAGGAGCTATTTCGAGCCGACATCTCGGACCACGCCCCGATGGCCGTCTCTCTGCAGAAGCGGCGGCCCGACTCCGACCAGTTCGCGAAGGTCCCGCACCAGATCTACGCCGACCCGTTGTTCGAGCGCTAGGTCGCGGAGTATGAGGAGCTCGGCGATGTAGGTCGCCACCCCGCCCCGACCGACCTGGTCGCGGCGACGAGGGCTCGGCGGGGCGCTGCGCGCGCGGTTCGAGATCGCCGCGGCGCGCGCCGCCAGAGTTGGGCCTTGCTCCATCGCACCCTTGCGCGCGCCGTCCGGAGGCAGGACTTGCCTCTGGCCCGCGCGCTCTGGGAGAGGCAAGAATCATGCGCGAGCTCTTCTGCATCGCGGACCCCCCGGCTTTCGAGGTTTCCTCGGTTTCTCCCGGGGCTTGTCAGAGAGCTCGCGCCGATATTCGCCACCAGGAGTCCCAGGCAGCGATCGCGGCGATGGCCCGTCGAGGGGGCGCTGCAGTCAGGGGGCTGTCCAGGACTCGTGCTGGGGGCCAGCTGCGAGCGATGGCACGGCGGGTTCGTGTCCGGCCCCCTTTCGGTCGGAGGAGGTATTTGGCGAGAGTGGCAGGGTCGGGCGAGGCGGGAGAGGAGCGCGCCACTTCGGCTTCTGTCCAGACCGAAGGTCTTCAAGGCCATTGGGGTCCGACTTTTGAAAAGCATCATTTGGCGCCCGACTGGGGCGCGAGGTATCTCGAGCGGTTTTCCTCTGAATTCCCCGACTTCTCTGACCTCCCCCCCTTTCGCGCTTCCAGAACTTTTTGCGACGGGCCCCAGTGGCGGGGCCGGGCCTCGAAGGCATGGCGCGTCGTGCTTGGCTCGCAGGGAGAGGCCCCGAGGTCCTCCTGCGCGTCTTCTTCCGGCACGCTCAAGGGCCCCCCATGCCCCTCTCCTTCTACGCACCGGTTCAGGTCTTCACCCCCGAAGGAATCCTCGAGGGCGACGACCCGATTGGCCAGAATGTCTTTCAGAGAGCGGCTGAGACTCGCCCGATCGGCCGTAGGAATTTGTCGAACAAGGTCGTCGCTGCGAAGGCGAACGCAGGACTGTCAGCAGCGGCGCAGCAAATCGGGGCCCCTTGTTCAAAACTGGTGCATTAAATATCGTATTATATTCGGATAGCGTCTACGAGCTTGACTATGCCTGGCTCGCCAGCGGCTTGCAACGCCCCGCGGCTTCCCTCCTCGCGTTTGATCTCTCCCAGGCCTTTCTGTCGGTGGGCCAGGATTGGCTCTTGATGGCGGTCGGCTGCGCGAAACCCCCCAAGGGGGCGCAAGCGGCTGATGAGGGGCTTCTACGTCGTAAACCTGTTTGTCACGCGCATTCTAGCGCCCTCCAGGGATGCCCAGTGAACGGGGGCCTGTTATCGTGATCTCCGTGAATCCATTATTGTGGGATATGTCGCGTTCCATCCAAGTCCTGGGGCATGGGCAGGTTCGGGATTGCGCCGACGACGGCGCCGCCGCCGTCCTGGCCCGCGAGGGCTTTCGAGAGCTGGCCCGTGTTTTCAGGGGCACGGCCGCCCTTGCAGGGCTCGCTGAAAGCCTCCAAGTGTTTTGCGGTTCCGCTTTCGGCAGAGCTCAATGCAGAGCTTGAGGGGTCAATTCGCTCGCCGCTCGCCTCGGCCGACGCTGCCTGGGCTAACTTCAGGATGTGGTCAGTTGTCCTATACCTTGGCTGTTGATTGGCCCAGACGCGGACGAGCGCAATAATTGGGTTGACCCCATGTGCAAACTGACTCAGCGGACACGCACCATCGCCGTGTGTTGACAATATCAGGCCATGGGAGTTTCGTTGCACCTCACTCGAGCACTCCTAGTCACCTCTAACGCGGCGCCGCTCTTTCTTTTGGCCTGGCAAGATGCTGGCATTGAGGGGACGCTGCTTACGCGGATCTTTAAGACGCTTGTCTCAGCCTTTTGCTATAGCGACTGGTTCAACTTAGGGCGTTTCGCTGGGCCGCGGGCCTGTTCCTTGCATGCGTCTTCTGCGGCCGCCCTGATGCGGGCGGCTTTGGTCGCCCTTCCGCGGTGGCAGGCTGCGCTCTCTCGTTTGGAGAGCGGGATTAGTAATCGCTGTAGCATGGCCCTCTGGGCGAGCACCCTTCTTGCCCCGAGCTTCTGGAACTCACGCCCCAGAGGGCGCTGCCCGGGGGTTTCCTGAGGACGTTCGATTGCGGGTGGGTGGGCGGAGGGCGGCGGGGGCGTTCCGTGCTCGTTCCCAGGATTGCAAACCCCATTGGCAGTGAGTGTTTCATGCAGCCCTCGTGGGCGAGATCTTCTCCCTGTCGCCGGCCCCCTTGTTCGAGCGCTGCATTCGGAAGCGGTTCGTTCTGTCGTTGGGAGAGGGCGTCGTGGACTGGGGGGAAGTGCAGAGTGCCGTGGCCCCCGAGCCCCGCCTAGCTGAGCCAGCGCGCGCATCCGTGCATGGGTCGGGGCTCGGGCCGCAGGTCATCCATGGTTGCGAAGGCGCCCCATCCGCCTCGCTCGCGCAATATTTCTTTCATTGCATGCGCCTCCACCGCCGTGCTCCCATCACTCTTCGCCCCGACCTCCTCGTCCGCCTTGGGCTGCGCCCTCGGTCCTGGGTTTGCCCTGAGCCCGCTTCCTGCGCCCATCTCGCATGTCCTCTTGCCCTCTATCACTGTTTCCGTCTCGCGGCAAGCCGGGCCAAGTCATTGGGCCGCCCTCTGACATATCAAGAATCCGCTGACCTCACCGCCGCGGCGCGAGTTGCGCTCCGACCCCCTCTTCATGGCAGGCAGCGACATCTGCTGGAGGCATCCGCCCTCCGCCAGATCGCGGTCGTGGCCCGTTCTAGGTCGGTGTCGGCGGGGAGGGATTGACCTGGCATGCAGCGCTGTGCCTCCTCCTCCTCTTGCTGCTCCTGCTCTTGCTCGTCCTCCCCCCTTCTCCTCCTGCTCATCCGCCTCCTGCTCCTCCTCCTCCTCCTCCTCCTCCTCCTTCCTCCTCCTCCTCCTCCTCCTCCTCCTCCTCCTCCTCCTCCTCCTCATCATCATCATCATCATCATCATCATCATCATCATCATCATCATCATCATCATCATCATTCTTCTCCTCCTCCTCCTCCTCGCCCTCAGCCCCCAGGCAACAGGGGTGCCGCCAGTCCGCGGCCAGTCTCGCCACCTCGGCCTGGTCCGCCTTGGCCTCCGCGCCAGCGCGCGGAGGCGGTGGGCTCCTTCGGGGGCATGCTCGGCACCGGAGTGTTGGGTTGGTGAGCTCATGGCGAAGCGTTAGTGGTGGAGACTACCTTGCCTTGGAGAGATGGCACCGCTCCCGCCCATCGTTCTGCAGGCACTGCGTGCACGAGCGCCCTGGGAAGCCGTTCCTCAACTTCGCCGAGAACATGAACTGCCACCATTGTAGGCTGGCGAAGGGCCTACGCTTCAAACGCTACGTTGTACTCAAGGAGCCGTCGACGTGCATGTGCCGGCGGAGTGGTTCGGGCAAGGGGTCTGATTCGCCGCGGGCCCCAGACTCGGCGGCCGAGGTGCAGAAGCTCTGGGCCCAGGGCATGCAGCTGCAGGGGCAGCTCAAACAGGCCCGCGAGACCCTGGACAAGCAGCTGGCGACTGAGCAGACGCAGCCGCAGCAGGAGCTGCTGGCGGCCAGGCCTCAAAGCCAGCATATGCGCATCCTCCTTCGCCAGATCGAGGGGCCGACCGAGGCCTTCAGAAGAGCCGAGCTTCTCTCGAAGCCTCGCGGCAGAAGGTCGTGGACATGCAAGCGGCCATCGAGAAGGAGAAGGCCCCCGTCGTGCAGCAGGAGGCCGAGCTGGCGGACTTCCAGCGCCAGCAGGCTCTGCCAGTGGCCGCGTCGCCGCAGACCGCTGCCATGGAGGCCTCCTGTCCGACGCTTCTCCAGGCAGTCCCCGTCATCCAGCTGGGCGCGGACAAGCTGGCGGCTGCGCTCGTCGGGCTGAGTGCCCAGGTGCCAGACGACCAGACCTCCTCGGCGCAGAGTCTGGTGCGGCATCTGCCCCAGTGCACAGCCCAGCAGACGCTGCAGCGATGCCCAGCTGCGCCCCTGGGGCCAGCGGCGGAGGGGCAGGCGCAGAGGCGGCTAACTCGCCGCCGCGCCTGGCTGCCCTGGCCAACTGGTTCGACGTCGCCGAGATGCGGAAGCGATTCGAAGAGGGCGGAGCTCCAGTCCCCGAGTCCGATCGCCGACGAGGGCGCGCAGCTGGCCTCTCAGAGTTTCAGGGCCGCGGCGGTCGCGGCCATGCCGAAAGGGGCCGGCTGCGGGCTTCGCTCCTTGCTAGCTGGACGCGCCTTGCTGTCGCGATGTCCACGGTCTTCCTGGTTCTCGGCAGCCTCCCCGAGCGATCCTTCGACAACAAACGGAGCAGCAGATCAGATTGCGCACAATGTGATACAATCTGGTGGACCCTGCCGCGTCGACTCTGTTTGCTTACATATCGTGCGCCGCTCGGACCTGCATTTGGTCGGGCTCGAGCGGCGCGCCCGCGCCAGCTGAGAGTTGTTGGGCGGCTTCCAGAGGCACCGCGTGGATGGCGATGCAGTCAGGTTGGGGGGCCCCAGCGCTGCCGGAGCGCCAGCTCGCGTTGCCGCGGCCGCCTGGCTGGCTTGGGGCGCCCATGGAGCGCCGCGGCCGCCGTTTGTCGCCTGTGCCATTTGAAATCTCGGTGCAAATTGGCCCGCGAGCCGGCGCTGGCGCTGCCGCGGCCTCCCGGCTGGCCCCGGGCGCCCCTGGGAACGGCGAGGGTGCCACGCGTGCCAATGCAGATCTTGGCGCACATTGGCCTGGCCCCCCAGCGAGCCCACTGGGGGCCTTGCAGGATCCGCCCCTGGCGCTGCCGCAGCCGCCCGGCCGCCCCCGGGCGCCTTTGGGAACGGCGCAGGAGCCGTGCGTGCCGATGGATTTTCAATGTAAAGTGGCCCGGTTTATCTGCCGAGCCCACCCGGGTCTTTGCTGGGGCCGCCGCTTGCGCAGCCGCTGACGCCCAGCTGGCACGGGGCGCATCTGCGAGCGGCTTGGGAGCCATTCGTGCAAATGGAAATCGTGGCGCACATAGGCCCAGCCCTCCCACCGAGCCCATCGAGGGCCTTGCTGGAGCCGCCGCTGGCGCTGCCGCGGCCGCCGCGGGGGCCCCGATCCAGTTGGTCAGGCGCGCGCTCGTGCTCGCCGGGCTCGCGCCCAAGGTGCTGCCGTGCACGGCCGATGCGCTGACCATTGGCGTCGCAGCGCCGATGCTTGGGCGGGGGTCAGATCGTTTGGCGAGTGGCTACAGGCGCGCGGTCGGCGGCCCGATATGCTGCTCGTCCAGGAGACCAGGTTTTTCGACAACGAGATGGTCGGATTGGCCCACCAGCGCTGCGCTTGGCACGGCATGCAGCTGGCCTCGGGGTCCGTCCAGCGCGCGGGGCCTAGCCGCTTGGCAGCCGCAGGCGGCGTCGGCATCGCGGTGCGGATTGCATTGACGCGCGCTGGGCGCGTCGCGCCGTCGTGCGTCGGGCGCACTTCGGCGGAGGCGCCGCCATGCTCCTGGTCGCCCTGCACCTGGTTACGTCCACCGGCCTGGATGGCGAGAGCGTGGACCTGCTGGAGTACGCGGGCGGCCTCCTCGGGAGGTTCTGCGAGCCCTTCTTGATCGGGGCGGGCTGGAACGTAGAGTCCGAGCTGCTCTTGGCATCCCGCTGGTTCGACCAGGCGGGTGGGGTGCTCCTCTCTTCGGACATGCCCAACTATGGGCCCTCAGAGGACGATCACTTCGTGGCCTCATCGGCCGCCGCGCACGGGGCCGAGGGGCCGCGGGCCTTGCTGGACACGCCTGCGGGCGCGCACCGCTGCGTCGGCCTTCGCCTCCAAAGCTTCTGAACGGCCACCCCAGCGCGGGGGCCCGCGCGGGGCCGTCAGCCTCCCTCGAATCCAAGGAGGCGATCTTGAAGTTGCAAGTGCCAGTGGGGGCGCAGGAGGCCGATTTGGCCGAGCTCACAGCGTCTCTGGCCGACCATGGGTGGGCTCGCTGCAGCTGGGTCGCTTCGCGGAGCGGCACTTGATGAAGAAATTGGAGGTAGAGTCGGTTAGTGCCCGCCACTACCGCGGCCGAGAGAAGGGCGCTAAGATGGCGCAGAAGCCGCTCAGCGAGCTCCACGCGGCCAGGCCGCAGAAGTTCGACACCTCCAGCACGGAGGCGCGGGCTGGATTCTTCCGTTGTTGGCGGGCCCTTCGGCGCCGGGGCATGGCGACGCCTAGCTCGCGCAGCCGTCGGCAGGTCCTTGGTGACCAGCTGGCGCGGCAGGGCGAGGCCCTGGAGTTGCTGCCTTCAGCGCCCCGCGCGACGGCGCTGCTCGACGCCTCCAGGGCCCGGTGGCTCGGGTTAGCCAGCAGGGGCAGCCCGCTGGACAGCTGGTTCGAAGGGCTTCTCGAAGCCGAGGTGGCGCCGCGTCGTCGCGCGGGCGCTTCCTGGCGCTCCAAGGATCGGCGGCCTTTCTGCGCGGAGTCTCCGGAGGGATCTGGCCGAGTGGCCCGCCGCCTCACCAAGCAGAAGAGGGGCGAGGCAGCCGTTATCGAGGAGCCTGGCGACCCTCGGCACCCGGCCCAGGTCCAGCGGAGGCCACCGGGGACGAGCGGGGCGAGTTCTGGGTCAAGCCTTCCAGAGAGTCGGAGGAGGAGGAGGAGGAGGAGGAGGAGGAGGAGGAGGAGGAGGAGGAGGAGGCGAGCCAGTGGCAGGTCACCGCGGGCCCGCCGCCCATCGCCGTCGACCAGGCGCGCGCGGTGGCCAGGCGCTTTCCGCACCAGACCGGCCTCGGCTGGGACAATTTCCACCCTGGGACTCTCCCCTGCTTCAATGAGGCGCTCTTGCAGCGGTTCGTGGACGGACATCCTCAGCTCCTGCAAGCAGCGCCCAGTCATGTTGGACCTCTGGCTCGCGATGATGGCGCGCCCGCCGCAGCCGCCGCCGCTGCCTGGCCGACGGCCCATCGGCCTCCAATGCATGTGGTGGCGGGTCTGGCCCCGAGCGCGGCAGGCTGAGGTTCGCCGCTGGGAGATCAGCGTGGGCGAGTCATTCCCCCGGGGCAAGTCAGGGGGCGCAGCGGCGGATCGGGGCCTATACCCACACATTCCTCGTCGCGCGCGCCAGTTGCCAGATCATGCTCAGCGGCCCAGCATCGCTCAGCTTGTCGAATGCCTCGTGCACGGCCACGAAGCAGGCGGCGGAGCATTGCGCCTTCGACCTCGGCCTGCTCAGGTCGCTCTTCGTGCTGTGCTGGGGTCTGCGCCGAGTCCGATGGCTGTCTGGCGCGACCCGAGCCATCCTGCCGAATGGCGCAGAGGCGGCGGATTGTTCCTTCGCTGCCGGGATCGTCCAGCTGCTCGCGCTACGCGCGCTGGAAGAGGTTGCGCTCGAGACGCCAGTTGGCCGACGCATCAACCTCGCCGACGGCATCAAGTTTCGCGCGGTAGGAGGCTTGCGGGCTGTGGCGGCCCAGCTAGTCAAGGCAGTGAATTCGCATATGTCTGCTATCAGCAGCTAGAGTTGCCTGTCAATGCGTCCAAGACATGTTTGATGGTTTTGGGCAAAGGGCTGCTCGGCCTCCTGATTGGCGATCCCGAGTGTCCACTTGATGAGGCGATGCTGCCCGAGACTCATCGGGACCTCGGAGGGGGCGCCTTGGGCGGCTCTCGTCGCAGGACTCCGATCCATATTGCTAGTTTCTCTGGGCCCATGTTGCTGCCGGCAGGCCTCGGAAGTTTGGGGGCGGCAGAGATGCCATTCATGCATTCAGGGCGGGCCTCGCGGCTAAAGCTTGTCGGGGGGTTCCATTTCTCGGGTTTAGGAATTCGGCTCTGAGAGGGCTTAGGGTTGCAGCAGCCTGCAGCTTCGGCCCTTCGCAGTCCGGCTCGTCTCTAGGTTTTTCACTGCTGTTCAGCAGCTCGTGGGCGAGCGATCCGCTGGTGCACCTCGCTGCCGCAGCTGTGAAAACGTTCGTTTCGGCATGGTGGCGTCGCTCGGTCGCCCGTCTTGTTCTCGCGCCCGCCGCGGAAGATGCTCGCGCGAGCCAAGAGACCCTGGGGCGCAGCGAAGCAGCCGCTAGCCGCCCAACTTCTCACCCTCGGGAAAATTGGCGGGGACCTCAACCTGGCCGCTGACAGTCTGGTGGGCCACTGCGGGGCCCCCCTGGGCGATCGGCCCGTTGTCGCCTTCCTTTTTCGAGGGTGCTCGTCGGCAGGCATGCTGGGGTGCGATCGCGGCCGACGAACAGAGTCGTCAATCGTCGCTCATGGGCGAATGGGCTGGCCCGATCTGCCCCCGCCCTGCCCGGGGCCCAGTTGCGGCTTTGGCCGCCGCCGGGGGCTGGGCGGCCCATCGCTCCCGCGCGCTCGGAGGCCTGATAGCCGACGGGTTCTGGCGCCGAAAAGTGCGAAGATATCCGCCCATTCTGCTTCCGCTGCGGAAAACTCGGGGCCCTCTTTTATCGGCGTTTCGGCCGCCCGCTCACTCGGCTTGGAGACGAGGAGCTCTCGTGCGAAGTCTGGGGGGCGGTCGGGGTTGCATCCTCGCTGCCAGGTCGGGTCCAGGATTTTTTCCAGGGCGATCTCCCCCGTTCCCTCGGCCTGGTTCAAGCGCGAGGCGCCTCGCCCGTCCTCCTGCGGTTGAGGGCCTGATGATAGGCGTCGGCATGTATGTTCGCACTGATGGATCGGCCCTCGATGGCCAGCTTCGATCCCTTGTAATGGCGGCATGGGCGGTGGTCGTCACGGACGGGGATGGAGTCGTCCTGTCGCGCATCTGGGGGGGGGGCCCGTTGCGGAGGCCTCCCGCCAAGCCGCGAGAGACGGCGAGGACTATGCTGCCCCCCAGTTGTGTCCCAATGCTGTCCTCTCCAGTAGGTTCAGCGACCATATAGATTGCGCCGGCGCGGTCGATTGCGCTAGGGGTCCTAGGTCTGCCGCTAGCCCCGACAATGGGAGAGCCCACTGGTGTGCCCAGGTGCGCGACAAGCTCGATGATTTCATAGCGTGCAAAGTCTTGTCCCATTACGCAGCCGGACGTGATTGACGGACATTCACAGCGCGGGAGGTGGGGGCGCACGCCTGCGGGGGAAATCACGCCCTGCAGGTGGGTATCATTTCGAGAAGCTCCCCCGCGACCGCCGTTGCTGGGCCGCGAGTGAGTTTCTGGAAATTTGCAGCCGGAGAGGCGGGGGCGCGGGGGGAAATCCCGCCTTGTGGGCGGATGCCATTTCGAGAAACACCCCCGCTACCACCCTTGCCCAGCCGCGACGGAATTTCTGGGAATTCGTTGCGGGAGAGGTGGGGGGCGCGCGCCCGAGGGGAAAATCCCACCTTGCGGGCGGATCGAGAATTTCCCCCGCGACCGCCCTTGCTCGGCCGCGAGGGAGCTTCTGACAATTCGCAGCAGGTGAGGCGCGGGCGCGCGCCCGCTGTGAAATTCACGCCGTGCGGGCGGGTGCCATTGCAGGAAACTCCCGCGCGACCACCCTTGCTCGGCCGCAAGGGAGTTTCTGGGAAATTCACAGCGGGTGAGGCGGGGGCGCGCGCCTGCGGGGGAAATCTCGCTTTGCGGGCGGATGCCACTTCGAGGGCCCCCCCCGCGACCACTTTTGCTCGGCTGCGAGGGAGTGTCTGGGAATTCACAGCGGGCGAGGTGGGGGCGCGCGCTTGGGGGGGAGGGGGGGGTGGGGGGAATCCCGCCTTGCGGGCGGGTGCCATTTCGAGAAACCTCCGGTTGCCACCTTGAACAGGCCGTGATGGAAGCTTCTGGAAATTCAAAGCGGAGGAGGTGGAGGCGCGCGTGCAGAGAAAATCCCGCCCTGCGTTCGGATGCCGTTTCGAGGAGTTCCCCCGCGACCACCTCTGCTCGGCCGCGAGGGAGCTTCTGAAACTTCACAACGAGAGAGGTGGTGGCGCACGCCTGCGGGGAAACTCCCGCCCTACAGGCGGATGCCATTTCGAGAAATTCTCTCGCGACCGCATTTGCTCGGCCGCGGGGGAAAGTCTGCAAGCTCACAGCGGGCGAGGTGGAGGCGAGCGCCTGCGGGGAAAATCCCGCCCTGCAGGCGGGTATCATTTCGAGAAACTCCCCCGCGACTGCGCTTGCTCGGCCGCGAGGGAGTTTCTGGAAATTCACAGCGGGGGAGGTGTGGGTGCGCGCCTGCGGCGAAAATCCCGACCTGCGGGCGGATGCCATTTCGAAAGAGTCCCTCGGTGCCACCCTTGCTCGGCCGCGAGGGAGCCACTTGAAGTTCACAGCGGGGGAGGTGGAGGCGCGCGCCTGCAGGGAGAATCCCGCCCTGCGGGCGGATGCCATTTCGAGAAATTCTCTCGCGACCACCCATGCTCGGCCGCGAGGAAGTTTCTGGAAATTCACAGCGGGGGAGGTGGTCCCTCCCCTCCTCCTCGGAAGATCTTGGAATTTGTCGCAACTGCGCGCGTGTAACCTATTTGGAGAAACTCCCCTGAGACCGAACAAGGGTGGCCCCGAGAGAGTTGTTCAAAATAGGTTACAAGCGTTGAGTGTTTGGAAACTCCCCTGTGCGGCCCAACCCCTGGACGAAAGACTGGTCCCGGGACAGGGGTTCGGACCTCGGGGAATCCACGTTTTGAACAATGACCATGTCGGAGTTCACGGTGTTGGGAAGACATGTTCGCGGATTCTTTAAAAAAGTTCCAGCAGCCGCGCTTTGTCGAGAGCGTTCCGGGGCTGCCCGGATTGCCCCGGGCGGCCGCCAAAGGCTAGATTTATAGCCTGAGAGCCACCAGGCGTTCGATTTATAGCCTGAAAGCCACCAGTCGTCGAAGAGGGGGGGGTATGGGGGGGTAGCATGACTGGGACCATGAGATCTCCCAGATCTCGCGACTCGCGACCCACTCGTCTTCTTTCGGTACGCCCACATGGCCCTCCTCGTCCGCGCACGTGCTTCGGGCCATGATGCGCTGACCCTGTTCTTGAGAGCGTTTTTTGTTGGGTACGGCGGTGACCCTGGTTATCGGGTCCGCCCCCCTCTTCCCCCCCCCCGATAACCTGACCTTGTCAGGTGCACGGGTTTGAAGGGAGACGGTGCGCAGTGCTGGTGCGCGCGGGTATGCGTGGGGCTGCCCAGAGCGAGAAGGTCAGGTGATCAGCCGGCCCCCCCCCCCCCCCCCCCCCCCCCCCCGGATCACTCATGCGATCGCCGAGAATGAAGAACGACATGGTTCCTGGTCCCCCTCGTCGGCGCACCCGAGACAGGGGGACTAGCTCAGGCGGGGACTAGATCGGGCGGGGGCTCAGGTGTGGCCCGGGGCCCCACCTCGCACAGGAGCGAGCGGTTTCGCCACCAGGGGACCACCACCCACCTGGGGGGCAGCTACATCACCCGCGAAGGCGAGAAGGTAATCGCGCCTCGCGCTGCTCGGCCTGGGCCAGAGAGCTGCCCTTCTCTTCTGCGGCGGCGCGAGGGCGCCTCGCGCGTTGCTTCGGGGGCCGCTGGGCGATCGCTCTCCCGAGGGCGGCGGGATGACGCGAAGATGCCCGCGCGTCGCGGATCGCAAGGCGACCCCCAACCGCCCATTCATCGCTCATCAGGGCTAGGGTGCGATATATCCTCGATGCATCGCCGATTCCGAGCCAATCTTTGCCCCCCTGAGCTGGTCCTTTCCTCTCGCTCCCCCTGAATAGTACCGGACCGGCTCGACAAACGCTGCCGCGCGTGCACGCACGCGCGGAAGCGTGTACCGAACCGGTGTGGTGCATGGTGTGAGCGTCGTCCAGAGGCGATGGGCTTCTACAAGAGGATGGGCGGTTATGGCAAGAAGGACGTCGGGCAGCGCTAAGTCTGGCTGGAGCAGCAAGTCCGTTTGGAGCCAAGGGGGCTCCATTTGGTGGGTAGGGTCCACCCGCACTTGCTCCGCCGGTCAGGGCCCGCCCGACGCGAAAACGCCCGGCGTGAACAAGTTGCAACGCCCAGATCTCAGGAAATGTCCCGCCCGCCCGGCCGTGGTCCGCCCGTTCGCTTGCTCGGAATTGAAGGCCCACTGCCTCGAAGAGCAAAAAACTGCATAGACATAGTTTTTCGGAGGTCCGCGCGGACTGCTTGGATCGGCGTTGGGCCCCCCTGGCGGCGCCTCCGGCGCCGCCCCTGGCGCGCTCCGCGTGCCAGGGAGGGAGTAGGAAAACGCCTCTCGGGACACGCTGCGAACTCCGACCCGAGAAATCCGCGCGGACCTCCGAGCAGTTGTGCTTATGCTGCTGTTTGTTTTTCGACGCGCCTATAGCATCGGGCGACGAAATCTATACACATCCACGGCTCCCTGGCCAGGCCCATCCTGAACCCAGGAGCTATGTATACGCCCTCCTGGCCTGGCCAGGAGGGCGTGGCGGATGCACCGCCCCTGGGTCCAGGATGGGCCTGGCCAGGGCGCCGTGGATGTGCACAGACTCCGCCTGCCTGGAGGACTATGCGGCCATCTTCGGCCCGCAGTACAACGGGCCGAAGATCGACTACATCATCATGCGGGGCCCCCGCCTGGGCAGGCCGAGGAACGGCGAGCAGCGCACCGTCCCGAAGCTCAGCGGCGGCTCCTTCGACAAGCGCAAGGATATCATGAAGTGCCTGACGACCGCGGTGGTCAAGCTCGGGCGCGTCGAGGACGCGGGGGGTGGGCCCCGAGATCCGGGCGTGCTGTCTTTCGCGCCGAGCGTGTTCGCCCCGCTGCGGGCCCCGGGACCATCACAGATCGATCCGGCGCGGAAAACGGCGCAGAAGGATGGGGCCCAGGGCTCCGGTGGTGATTGTGCGCGATGTTGCATCCTTGTTCGCAACATCGGATCTCGGGGGAGGACAGTGCGCGTGGATGTCATGGCCGGGGCCATGAGGTCTCCCAGATCTCACGACCCCCTCTCGTCTTCTCTCGGTATGCCCCCGGGCCCTCCCTCGCAGAGATCTCTAGCGCAGGGATGTCCGCGGGGGCGCGAAGATGATCGCGCTTCGCGCGTCGAGGTCTGGGCCAGAGCGGCCGCCCTTCTCCAAGGGGGCGGAGCGGGAATGCGGAGATAACCGCGCATCGCGGGGCGTGGTGCGCGGAGCTGGGTAGCCCAGCTTCTGCCCCCCACCCCTCGGCGCACCCGGCGAGCACGGGCGCATCAAGACGACCTACGCCAGGGCGCTGGGCGTGCAGAGCTTCATCGACAGGATGATCGTCTTGGCGAAGCGCGGCGACGACCTGTCTCGCCGCGAGGCCGAGGAGTGGATGGTGGACTCGAGCCTGGTCGAGAACCTCTTCAAGCTGGCGCCTGAACGCTACGGCGATAAGGGCAAGGACTTCACGCAGGTTACCCGCACGATGGGCAAGCGTGGCGCGGAGATGGCGTACATCGAGCTCGTGTGAGTGTCCTGGCGTAGAGTTGGTCCTCTTCCTACACCTGCTCCTCCCCCTGAGACTCGCCCTTCTCTGCCTCTCTCCCTGCTGCTCCTCCTTCTCCACCCGCTGCTGCGTCTCCTCCTCTTCTCCTCCTCCTCCTCCTCCTCCTCCTCCTCATTCCTCCTCTTCTCTTTCGCCTCCTTCCCCTCCTCCTCCTCGTTGTCGTCCTCCTTGCTGATGTTCGTCATCCCTCACTCCATCCCCTGCGTCCCTCCTTTCTTAGCCTCCGTGCGGCAACAGAGGGACAGGGCTGAGAACGAGGAGAAGCGGGGGGGAGAAGGTCGGCGAGGATGATGAGAGGGACAAGGAGGAGGAGGAGGAGGAGGAGGAGGAGGAGGAGGAGGAGATGTTGTGATGGATGGTCATGAAGGCAAGCCTCCTGACTAGAATGAGCGGCAGTTTGAATCGTCAGATGGTCCATCAGTTGTTGTTACCCAAGGCTCTCACCGATGGGAGCTCAGACTCCGGCAGTTCGAACGACGTCAGCACTGAAGCCTGGGTTAAACCTGGGAGGCTCTTGCACTCACCCTTGCTTGGCCTCCAGCGAGGGAAGAGTCGCCTTCTCCGCCTCAGCTCGTTCGTGCGCAGATAACGGGATGGGGGACCACAGACGCAAGGACTTGGTCGTGGGGCAATGCTGAGGGCACAGTCCCTTGTGAATTCGCTTCAGCTGCGGCTTGGAAACTGTAGCAGCAGGCTTCGACAGTAGGAGGAGGATCGGGAGGAGAATGTTGATGATGATGATGAGGAGGAGGATGAGGATGATGATGGTGCCGATGATGATGATGACGATGATGATGATGATGAGGAGGATGATGATGATGATGATGATGCTGATGGTGATGATGATGGTGGTGCTGATGCTCATGCTGATGCGGATGCTGTTGATGATGTTGATGATGATGGTAATGATGATGGTGGTGATGCTGCTGATGATGATGCTGATGCTGATGCTTTTGCTGATGATGCTGCTGCTGATGATGATGCTGGTGGTGATGATGTTTATGCTGATACTGTTGCTGATGCTGATTATGTTGATGATGATGCTGATGATGACGATGATGATGATGGTGATGCTGGTGATGTGGTTGATGATGATGGTGATGATGATGCTGATGATGCTGCTGCTGATGTGATGCTGATGATGGTAATGATGCTGGTGATGCTTATGATGCTGATGATGGTGATGGTGATGATTTTGATGATGAGAGTGGTAGTGGGAATGATGCTGATGATGATGCTGATGCTGATGATGGTGATGAGGTGATGATGATTATGATTATGATTATGATGGTGATGATGGCGCTGATGCTGAGGCTGATGCGGATGCTGATGCTGATATTGATGATGATGATGCTGATGCTGGCGATGTGGCTAATGATGGTGATGATGGTGATGATGCTGATGTTGATGATGCTGATGCTGAAGAAGACGCTGAATATGGTGATTATGATGATGCTGGCGATGATGATGATGATGATGATGATGATGATGATGATGATGATGATGATGATGATGATGATGCTGACGATGATGGTGATGATGGTGGTGATGCTGATGATGGTGATGATGATGGCGATGATGATGATGCTGATGAAGTCAATGAACCCCTTCCGCACCACCATCCTGTTGCCCATCCTGCTCTCTGGCCTTGCATGCACTGTCTGCTGCGCTGACTGCTTCCCTTCATGACTCGAGTGTTTACCTGCAGCTACAATTCTGGCTCTCGGGAAGCGGAAAAGGAGCGAGCCTGCGGCGCGCGCGTGCGTCGACCGGCGGGCCGGCCTCCTCCCTTCAGTGTTACCCTATTGTATGCTTGACGGCATTATTCCTTCTTCCCCATGTCATCGGCGAAGCCCACTGACCATGATATACCAATGGAACATCTTGCAGTGATTCTGAATATCCAGAAAAAACTGGTTATCAGCCGAAACGACGGCGCAGCCGTTAGCTTCGCAGAGCATGGGGTCACAGGAAGGAGCGCTCGGGCGAACAAAAGATCGATGCCTTCCCGAGCGTAGCGAAAGTGTGGGCGCCTCTACGAGACGACCAAACTCTCTTAATCTTCTCAGAAGGCAAGCATTAGAGACTGTGTTTGACTTGACAGAAGGGGATTCCTCGGTTGACTCGATGACCAGGTCTAGAGCACAAGCCTCGGGCGGAAGGTATGGTGCAGCCAAAACTTCCGCCGAGGGACCATCCGATTTGGTGTCGGTATATCTGGGCTCCCAGCCATCGATTGACCTAGATCTTGAGATGGAGAAGTTGTTTGGATCACGTCCCCATAGGAAGTTCAGGCGTTGGGAATCCTGGCGTCGAACACGCAGCGCAGTTCGCGCTGCATGGGCAGAGCGAGGACGCGAGCGAATTACAATCGGAAAGGGGCAGTGCGCACTCGATTGAAAAGATCAAAGAATATGCCCAGTTCCATACCTCGCCTGGTCCATCGCATCATCTCGATCCTCTCTCTGATGGATATGTCGGGCTCGCCTTAGGCGCAGACCCGTTAGCCAACGCGGACAGTTGATCATGCAACGGTTGAGGCAACTCAGAAGGCCATTCTTCATTCGGATGACGATCTCGACGACGGAAGAAGCCCCGACCGAGGCAGACGCTCGTCGGCACAGCCGATGTCGAGCTCTCCCGATGTCCTGCGTGCGATAAGGAATGCAGGATAATCTACCGGCATGACTCCCCATCCAATGACAAAGAAGCCGAAGGGTGAAAATGATGATTTAAACTCTTCACCCTTATTGCAAGGTTTTCACCGACCAGGCTTCACATTGCCCCGGACAAACAGGGACAGAGTACCAGAACTTGACGAGCTCGTAATTCAGGAGTCGGGACGTCGATTTCAGTAATAGGGGTGTAAGAACAAGGGAGCAACACACGCCCACCTCCAGCAGTGCGCGAGGACGTTCCAGCAAGGCCCCCAGGGCCGGACGTTCCAGTTCTAGGGGATTCGACGCCCTTGGATCACCACGGCTGTCGTCGAATAGAACCACCAGCTGTTTCTCGATGCGGGAAAGTTGCTGGAATGCCGGGCCCACGTGTCCGACTCGGGCGGGGAATCGGCGCCCGGGGAAGGCGCGCAAACCGGGGGGGTCACGTCGAAGGCCTGTGTGCTCACAATGTTCGAATGTTTGTCTTAAGTGTAGTCTAGCATGGCCTTGTGAGGAATGTATCACGATGGAAGAGTACGATTGCCATCGCATCGCCATTCAAGAGAGAGCTGAAAGACGAAGACAGGATTGAGAACAGTTGAGAGCTGCGAGTGCACAAATACAGCATATCATCATTGAGGCGCAGGTGCGCGCGCTTGCAGCATCCGAGGCAGAGAGACAGGCAATGGCATAAAAGGTGGAACATGAGAAAACTGTCATTGTGTAAAATGCGCAGAAACTGATGCAGCAAGCTGAGGCCAGCGTGGCAGGAGTTGCAGGCGAGGCCTAGCGGCGCCATGCTCAAGAGGAGAATGAAAGATGGAGAATCCAGAGTATGACCGAACAAATGGCGCGAGACTCATCATAAGGCTGAGAGAGAGAGAGAGAGAGAGATAGAGAGAGAGAGAGAACAAAAAAAAAGCTGAATACAGAGAATTGGCTGATGCCGCCGGGAGGGAAGGAGAGAGAGGAGCCCGAGAACAAGCAGCGCGAGAAATCCGGAGCTCCGATCAACTTGAAGCTGCTAGACTCGAGGACGCAAGAGTTAAACCGGAAGCTCTGCGAGCCCTTCGAGAACAAGAACAGAATGCCCAGGTAATCAGAAGTGTGGACCAAAAGAGAATGCCTTTGCCTGGGACCGTCTGAAAGGGCACGCACATGAACAAATAAGGAACAACGCTCTTACCACTCGGGCCGTGAGTGAGGAAAACATGAGGTTAAGGTCTGATCTGGAGCAGCATTGGATGGACAAAGAATCACGGGATAAGGTCCGGTTAACTGGACAACCCGCGACAGAAGTTTTGCCGAGAGTAGGGTCTACGACTACGGCCTTGCCGGCAGAAGTGGGCCCCGAGGAAAACTTCGGATCAACTCTGGCACAGCCGGCGCATGTTGAGCCGCCTCCTCATCCGATCGCTGCTCGCCCCGTTCGTAAGTGTGGCAATATGCAAGCTCAGACACGAACAGGCAATCCGAGTCAGATCTGTCACCTGTGTACCGAACCTTCAGTCGAGGTATGCATTGGTTGTTCGAAACGCACGTGTAGGGATCACCTGGACATGGGGACCTAGCGGTGCACTGAGCACGCCTGGAAGAAAGAGTTTGGACGACAGGATGATCTCGAGAAAGGGGAAGAACCGCAAGGCATACCTGATACTCACCGTGCCAACAACGGTCCTAATGAGACGGCACCGAGACTCGGATTTGCCTAAGGATGTGAATCTGAACGCAAGACACGCAATCTCGCCGATCTTATGGGCTGCCAGCATTCAAATCAGACAAGTCGGATTTTTATAAAATGCCAATGTTGACCACTCCGTCTGTGCCCGCGCTTCCTCTCACAAAATCGCATTTCATTCCGGGGCCGGCTGTCGAGAAATCTTTCGGTGCGAGTGAAGGTTCGATGCGGGAGTATGTCCAGGGGGTGATTCCTGGGAATGTCCCTTCTACTACCAAGATTTCAAGGCCTCCTGACAACTTTGACTTGTCTGGGCACCTTAGCCGTGCCTGGTGAAGGAGGTGGAGATCCGGGAGGACGCGACGACGATCAGAGAGATGATCAGACTACAGCCCCCAGCACTGGCATGATCGTCGCAATACAGTTTGACGAGACAGGTAAGCCCAAGCCACCCAAAGGCCCCCCAGGGGGGCCTGGCGGCGGCGGCGACCCAGACGGAGACGGCGGCGGGGGGCCGAATGGCCATCATGACCCAACCTGGCAGCCGTTTGATGCCAACCAAATGGATGTGAATAGGAGGAGCTTTGGGAACAATGAAGGGCTAAACTTGCTGGACATACCGAGTGCCCCGACACTCCGCGAATGGGAGCAACATTGCATGAGAGCGGTAGCTGGATCATGGCGCGACGTTAAGGCGGCACATACATGGGTCACTGAAGCCATGGGGCCCGACGCGCCGAAGGAGAACGTTAGTGACTCCGGGGGTTGACGCGCCCCGACATGATGATCGCGACGAATCTGCTTGAGAAATTCGATTCGCTAAGATGAAGCGCAACCAGCGTCTGTCAGTGCAGCGTACTCATGTCCTTTCACAAGTAAGTCGCATGGAGCATTCGCGCCTGATAGAGGGACGTCTTCTCACTGGCCGAGAAATGATGCGCGCCATATGTGTTTGGTGCTGTCAGGTCGGAGAGCGGGCGATACTGGATATGCCGTGACCTGTTCAAACTGACCAATTATCGACATAAGCCCAATCAGGACTTGTACCATTTCTATAGTGAATGGATGGAGCGGCATCAAGAATTTTATGGTTCCAGGGAATCGTCGGATACAAGGCTTCACTACATGCACATTTCCACGAATCGATTAGGCAGGTTCCGAGGCTTGAGAACGCAATGCGGTGGCATGAATTGTCGACAGATGCTCGGGGCACGGGGATGCGCACATATCAATGGCTGTTGCTCCAGGTCGAATCACTTATGATGCGGGACAGAGAACAGTGGGCAATATCCGAACATGAATCGACCTTCAATTCCAGAAATAGACAGGCCGCCTGGCAGGTGGGGCGAACGAGGGTGGCGGGGGCGGACGAAGAGCCTCCGC